GTCAAACAACTAAGTACCTAGAAGAGTTCTTTGGGAGAAGAAAGAAGAAGTAAATAACCTTATAAAGAATTGTGCAATTCACCGGCTACATTTGAAAGACTCATGTACACTGTATTATAACTCTTAAACTGGAAAATCAGTTTGGTTTACTTAGACGACATCGTCATATCAGGAAGAACCTTTGAAGACCAACTCCAAAACGTGACTGAAGTCTTTAAAGAATTGGCAGCCGTAAAATTGAAGCTAAGTCCTCAGAAATAAATCCCGTTTATAAGGGAAGTGAAATACCTAGGGCATGTTATAACATCGTAAGCAGTGTTGGCAGACGTACCATAATTATTGTACATGTACCATAATTTAATGTTTTGTACAATCTCAATCACAAGGTGTACAATAATGCTTGAAAGTACGATAATTTTGAATACCCAGTTATTTTATGAAGGAATAATGATTTCTAAATATTCGAAGCCGTACGGATGTTGCCGCTATACATTTTACAGAAAGGCGGCGTGCCGGTCGTTTTAGCTTGACAGTATTATTATTATCCAATGACAACCAGTTATTCTCCAATACGTTAAAATGATTCGTTGCTTCACTTCTTTCCCAGTGTTGGCAGACGTACAATAAATATTGTACATGTACCTTGACTTGATGTTTTGTATAATAATTCCTAAACGTACAAAAATTTTGAAAATCCATATATTTTACAAATATCTATTATATCTCTAATTATTCATTATGTTTAAACTAAAATATTCAAATCACCCGCCAATTTTTGTGTGTACTGAATTTCAAATTCTGAAAAAAAAAATTATCATAGTAAACTGCAATAATTTCTGTGGGTGGTTAATTTTTCCATATGGCAATATTGCAGGTAGCTTTAAAATAAAATTAGTTAACTATTTCCGATAATTACAAAAAGTACAATAATTTGTCTGAAAGTACAATAATTTGTCTGAATGTACAATAATTCTACGGTCATGGTACAGTGCGTTTAGATACAAAATGTATTTGTGCTGTAGCTTCACGATGGTATTCATCTATAAGTCAGCCCCTGCTTAGTGGGGAACTCATAGATGAAATAGTGAAGTGTCGGCAGGAAAGGGCATGTATGAGCATGTCTGGGAAGTGAACCTACTGTATATAATCTTTATGCTGTGCTAGTAGTAGATATAGTTGATACGATCAATGTTGGGAATGAAAATTATTTGGGAGAATGGGCGTATCTTTCATAAGTAGTAGAAACAAAGTAAAAAGAGATAACCGAATAGTAGTAAGCGTTGCAGCGGTTATAAGTTGCATATAGGTACGTAAAAAATCAGGGTCGGCTTTATAACTGCCTGATTGTTTTTTAATCGTTAACAACAAGAAATATCACTGGCAGTCTTCTTGCATCATTGATCATTGATGTAGATGCATGTAAAATTCAGCGATTTCGAATATGTGTTTTATTAAAGTAGACCAGTCAACTGTACTAATGGAAAGCTAATTTATTTAATAGTATATAGAATACGAGGTCTGTTCAAAAATTATCGCGAATTTTGTGTTTTTTCAAAAATTATTTGGAGCTGCCTGCGTCGCGCTGATGAGATCCAAAAAGATCGAAATCGCGATCCGCGTCTAGTGTATTGTTTTTGGCCAAAAATTGGCACACAAGCAACGATGAGTGAACAGGGGCGTTTCTGGCGAATTGCTTCGCGCAAATTGCGCATAACTTCCAGGTAATATTCCTTATTGACCGTTTTACCTTGTGGCAAGAACTCATGACGCATATTGCAATCCAAGAAAACTAAGCAAAACCTTCACATTCGACCTAACTTTTTTCGGTCTTAGCTCGCGCGGCAGTTTCCATTGGGATGGCTGGTTTGGTTTGGTTTTCACGTCATAACCATAAACCCATAATTCGTCGCCAGTTATGACCCTCTGGAGCAAATTTGGGTCGTCGGAGACACAGCCTAACAGCTCCTTTGCAATTAAAGCGATATGGTTAGGTCGTCAGCTGCTTCTCTACCAGTGATTCGACGATTAGTCAATACTATTTATTTCATCAATGTTTGTTGACGTGCTCGGGCGTCCGGCAAGCTCTTCCGGCCGTCTGAAAACATTTTTTACCACCGATAAACGTTTCACTCTAGGGTAACTTCACCGTATGTCACAGTAATAATTGTATATAAATGTATCCTCCTACTTAATTTTGTTTTTCATACAAAATTTGATACAGATTCTTTGATCCATTTTTTGGAGTTGGTAAAAATCGAAGACGAGGCAAAGCACGTGCAAGCAAAGCTGCTGTCAAAAATTTTATTGAACATTCAACATGGCCGGACTTGTCCGTATAAATAAGAGACATGAGTACCAACATAACTCCACAAAAAAATTGAAAATCGAATGTACGTAACCAGTCAAAATTGGGGATACTTTTTGAACAGACCTCATATATTTATAATGACACTTTTATTCTTTAATGAAGCTTTTAAAGTTTAACAATATTTATTATCTAATCGTTGAATACGTTTTTTCAGATCTTTATCTTACTCTCTGTGGTAATATCCGGAGTACTTCTTGCACCAGCGCCTAAAGGAGGTGTAGCAATTGGAGCAGCCGTTGATGCCACCAAAGCCATTGTCGGTACAGGAGCTAAATTTTTAGGTAAAGCCGCCTTATCAACTCTTGGAACTGCAGCTTTAAAAATAGCCGGAACTGTGGGTAAAGTGGCGCTGGTTGGTGCCGGAGCGCTTGGAATTGGCCTTGTGGGTGCCAAACTCATTAAATTAAAAATAGCTGGGGCTAAAGCTCTACTGGCAAAGCATAGTGGTGGAGGAAGTTGGTCGTCTTCATCTTCATCATCCACGTCGACGTCGTCATCAGAACCGTCGTCTTCAACGTCAGACTCTGATGATGGTAGTTTTAGTGCATCCGGATCTATAAATGCAAGTTTATATAAACGAAAATAAGTAACGCTTCATGAGTTAATTGCCGCTCTCCTAGTCAATGTTTGTAAATAAATTATTTTGTAACATATTATGGTTATGCTACTGAAAAGCTGTTAAAACGTTTGTAATAAAATAATGTTTTTATATCATGCGTGTGATTATTATTAATTGGCACTTTAAAATAAAAAGGGAACCCTCACAAGATCATTTTAAAATTTTGTATTGTGGAAAACCATAACCTGAATATTTGTCAACGGTCAACTTTCAAAAATCATGACACTGTTTGAAGATTCAAAGATTGATTGGATATTTATTTATTTTTATCAATTATTTCGAGAACAATTAGTAAAACTAAACGTCAGTCATACGGTGCATTTTAAATAATTGAGAGTATTGAGAGTATTACCTCATCATCATCATCATAAGGTCGCCAGTCCTAAGACTGGTTGGACATGCACCTCCTCTCTTTCGTATCCTGAGATAATCTTCGCATTTCCCTAAAACCAGAACAATCCACATCCTAAACTATTTGCGAAAAGTAATCTAATCTAGGTCTACCTCTACCCCTCCTAACTCCCTTTTCTGCCTCCAATATGTCTCTGATCAGACCTTCATGCCTGAGAAGGTATCCTACCAACCTATCTCGCCTATTTCTTATTGACTTCCATAGAATCCTCTGTTCTCCTATTTTTACCAACATGATTTAATTTTAAAGGTAAAAGAAAAAGTCGTAGACGACTGTGGTTTGAGAAGGCCTACGCCAGTTGAACACTGATTTCATGTACTCTTTGAAAATAGCTAAAATACGAAAATTGAACACCACCCCCTACTGCGGGCATGTATGTACGTATAGAGATAATAAGGAACAAGTTGATTACAATAAAACAATTTACATTAAAACTTCAGTTAGAATTCCAAATTTGATTGTGCAAAAACGATAGATATTCAAGTGATTTTATTTAGATAAATCAATTTAAATTTTGTTTATTTTATTATTACTGTATTATTTGAAGAAGATGAGGAGATGGAGAAGAAAATGGAACTAAGAAAAACGGGAAATTAAAAGATAAAGGTACACAAAAGTTTATTGGTCAGAAAAACTGCAGGGGAATTTTTCACGTTGTATTCTAGATAATGAAATAAAAAAATTTCGTCAGTATTATCAGGTGCTTTAGAATATCTATTCATCAATGATCTGCAGTCAAAATTTGAGTTTCTATTAAGAAAAAGTAATACTACATTTAAGGAAGCAATGACTCCAATAGAAAAACTAGTAGTTTGTTTATTAAAAAAAAATATTACTTTAGCTGTAAAAGTTTTTATTTTAGGAAACTTCATATATATCATTGTTCTGCAAAAGCTGAAGATGAACTTGCAATCGATGATCCATGATTAGAGAAGAGAAGAACCACTGTTGGTGGTGAAGAAAAGATCGTAAACTGCTGCTACAGAAGGGATGTAACTGTGATTTAGATTATTTGTTATTTATTATTGATGTCTGTTATAAGTTCTTGGTGAGGCGTTGCCGGAGTTAACAGCTATATAGTTCTATGTCAGATAGATATTAAAAATTTTTGCTTTTTCCATGTGCTGGTAGACTGGAGGAAGCGTTTTATGTTTTTTTTTTATCATTAAGGAAAGCGTCTATTGCATGAGACGGCGAGTTAAATATTTTGGTTCTTTTCGGCCTATGTATTGCCCTAAGCTTAACCGATTTAGCAAGGTCTTCAGATTGGGAAAATTAAGAATACTCTCCAACCCCAAATTGAGCAGTTGACTGCTTTTAATTCTTCTTCATTCTCGTTTTGTTGCTCTTCTGTAGTGGGTGTTAATTGGTTGCTTTCTGTTTNAGGAGCTTGACGAATCAGTCTATAGAGATGGCATTAATAGACTGGAACACCGCTATGAGAAATGTATCAGCCTTGGAGGAGATTATGTTGAGAAATAAAAAAAAAAAATTTTTAAAAACCTTGTTTTTCTTGGTCAGGCCGGAAACTTATCAATCCACCCTCGTATTTAATGTTACTACTGCTTGCACATCGTTTGTATAATATTAAGAACAGCGAACAATACACGAAATTATTCAAGTGTATTACTAGGTGTATCGTGGCCATGATAAGTATCAGGATCTAGCTCTATATTTTGAGCCTCGGAAACAACTCAAAAATCATAATTATTTTTTCGTTTGGATTTGGATAGGTGGCGCAATCTTATTAGCCCCAGCTACCAATGACAATCATAGGAGGAAAGTGCCCTAGGAGTACACAACTAACCATTTTTTTGTTTTAATAGCAGTTTCTGGTCTAGAAAATGTATTGAACCAAATACTATTTAGTTTGTCTATTAAACATATTGAAAAATAAGATGGTAGCAGGAAGCAAAATCAAAACCTGTTTAACAAAAATATTGCAATTTAAATAAAAAAAAAATTCGCACTCACAGGTGTCACAAGTGTCGAAGAGTACGCATCTTATACCTATATAAATATTTTCTTTTTTGTATTTGTTCTTGTAACAATTTATAAGGAGTAGAGGATACCGTAGATAGAGAAGCTTAGAAATGAAGTGATATTAGAAAGAATAGGAGATAGAGGTAGAGGTAGACCTAGATCAGATTACTGTTTGAAAAAAGGGATGTTAAAGTTTTGGGGAAATGCAAAGATTAGCTCAGGATAGGAAAGAGTGGAGTTGCGTGTCCAAGCAGTCTTAGAACTGATGACCTTATGATGATCAGATGAGACTATATTTTATTATTTCAGATTTATATACTCTATTTTCCTTCCCGTTTACTGTTTTTCATTGATTTCTAATCAAAATTACTGAAAGTGAAGTATTTGTATCGCCAAAATCCTTTTCAGTATTAGAAAATACTACAAATGGCGCAGTGAACGCCATCTGTAGCACGATGCTGCATTTTAGGATTACGTACTAAAACGCACTGTTAAGACAGCAGGTAAAAGTTGGTCTGTGTTCTGTCGGAGCTGCCTGCGACGCGCTGATGAGATCCAAAAAGATCGAAATCGCGATCGGCGTCTAGCAGTTTCGACAGAATACAGACCACTTCGAATTATTTCACTTTTCAGTATTGTTTGGAAGTTCTCTCTGAAAAGCGAATCTACCTGTAACATCAGCCGACGCAAAATTAGTTGCAGTAAAATCATCTGGATTATACGGATGCAGTGCAGTACATGTAAAGAACTAAATTTTAATAGTTACCACTTACGGTATGAAACAATCTAGACATTGTTAGCTTGTACATAGTTAGTTACATCCATCTATCACATTTACTGCAAAAACCAGCATTCAGTGGAGAGAAAAATTCCCTAATTCTCCAAATAAAACAGCAAAAAGAGAACAATATGATGCATGATTATTTAATATTAGGGTTATAGGGGTTTATTTCGGACGGTTTCACAAAGTCGCCAACATGACGAAGCCAATTTAAAAGTAAACCCGAATTCATGTACCTAACCCGAATCCGAAATCATTTCGAGAGCTCCTGGAGGTGTCCCATAAAGCAACAATTCTTTCATTCAATTTCTGGGGAAAATGAGACCTGGTGGGACCCAAATACCTAAACTACTTATTCAATAGACGACTACAAGTAATTGGCCCCTTTCAGCGAATATGTCTTTTGATACAGTCATTAGGAGTAAAAACTTTAGGGGACTTGTTAGGGACTGCAGAAGAGCCGGTCTCACCAATATTGAATTTGCCACGTGGTAAAGGATTCATATTTCCATAAACTGATTTTAAATTTTGAAAAAATCTTTGACATTGAATTTGATTAAATTCAATAGCACAAGACAAGTTAGGTTTTTCCGGAGTTTTTAATGACAAAGAATTTATTGCTACAAAATTTTGTATCCAGTGTTTTCCAGCCATTCTTAAATCTTTGTCACGGAATTTTATTCAATTCGGCACACTGATAGACTAAGGTTTTTGCATCCTTCATGCGCAAGTCGTAAAATCATTGACATAATAACTATAGGTACGTGTTGACGCTGTTTGCATCTCTTATTATGCATTCAATATCTGGTTCTATGCTTGTAGTAGCTATTCTTTTCATTTTTTTTTTTAATGCAGAACTATCGAGAATTAATTCGATTAATTGCCAGAAGTTGAATGCTAATATAGAAAAGTTGTTCACGAACCACATAAATTAATTACACGAGCCGATTTCAGCCCGTGGGATGTACAAGGTCTGTTCAAAAAGTATCGCAAATTTTGAATTTCCACGGGTTATGTATATTCGATTTTTGTGACGTTATGTTGGTACCAATGGCTCTCACTTATACCGACAAGCTCGACCATGTTGAATATTCGGTTCATTTTTGGCAGCTGATTTGCTTGCACCTGTTTTGGCTCGTCTTCGTTTGCGTATTCCAATAAATGGATCAAAGAATCTGTATCAACTTTTGTGTGAGAAACAAAATTAAGGGCGCGGACGCATTCCGAATGTTGGCTGTGGCATATAATGAAATTACATTGGACAGAAACAACATTTATCGGTGGTACAAAATATTCTCAGAGGGTCGAGAAGATATAAACGACGAAGAGCATAGTAAAGGTCTAGATGATGGCGGTGGGTGGGATCGAAAGAGGAGGTCTCCCCCACCACTGTACCATAAAAAGTTCGTGGCGGTTTCACCCCCATAAAAAGTTAAGGGGGTTAGATGTTGGCCCCTCCACCCCGAAGGGGATGGAGTAAGGGGGGATCGAAAGAGGGTGGTCACCTGAGTAAAACCCCATAAAAAATTTGCGGCCGTCTCACCCCCATAAAAAATTATGGGCGTTGAATGTTGCTTATTTTTCAATTTTCATACACTATAATTCAAATAAAATTCAATAAAATAATTATTTTCAAGCGGGTGGAGGTCTATTAAACATATTGAAAAATAAGATGGTAGCAGGAAGCAAAATCAAAACCTGTTTAACAAAAATATTGCAATTTAAATAAAAAAAAAATTCGCACTCACAGGTGTCACAAGTGTCGAAGAGTACGCATCTTATACCTATATAAATATTTTCTTTTTTGTATTTGTTCTTGTAACAATTTATAAGGAGTAGAGGATACCGTAGATAGAGAAGCTTAGAAATGAAGTGATATTAGAAAGAATAGGAGATAGAGGTAGAGGTAGACCTAGATCAG